TAATGAACAAGCTCCCAACAAACAAGTCCCAGGCCAGATGGTTTCACAGGTGAATTTTACAAAACATTCAAAAAAGAATTAACACCTATCTTTCTCAAATTATTACAAAAAATCCAACAGAGGGAAGGCTCCCAAGCTCATTTTAGGAGGCCAACATTACCCTGATTCCCAAACCAGACAAAAACATTACAAAAAAAGAAAACTATTGGCCAATATCCCTGGTGAACGTAGGTGCAAAAATCCTCAACAAAATATTAGCAAACCAAATTCAGCAATACATTAAAAAGATCATATACCACAATCAAGTGGGATTCATTCATGGCATGCATGGTTGGTTGAATATCTGAAAATCAGTTAATGTGATACACCATGTAAACAAAATGAAAAATAAAAATCATATGGTCATATCAATGGATGAAGAAAAGGCATTTGACAAGGTCCAGCAACCATTTATGATAAAAACTCTTAGCAAAGTGGGAATAGTGGGATCATATCTCAACATAATAAAGGCCATATATGACAAACCCACATCTAATATCATACTCAATGGGGAAAGCTAAAAGCATTCCCTTTAAGATCAGGAACAACAAGGATGCCCGTTTTCACCACTTTTATTCAAAATAGTACTAGAAGTTCTTGTCACAGTAATCAGACAAGAAAAAGGAATAAAAGGCATCCAAATGGGCAAGGACAAAGTAAAACTGTCATTATTTGCAGATGACGTGGTACTATATAGAGAGAACCCCAAAGATTCCCCCAAAAACTTTAAAACTGATAAATTAATTTAGTAATGTAGCAGGATACAAAATTAATATTCAGAAATTGGTTGAATTTTTACACACCAATAATGAACTATCAGCAAGAAATAGTAAGAAAATAATCCCATTTACAATTGCATCAACAACAAAAAAATACTTGGGAGTAAATTTAACCAAGGAAGTAAAAGACCTGTGTCAGAAAATTATAAGACATTGAAGAGAGAAATTAAAGAAGATACAAATAAATGGAAACATATAACATGTTCCTGGATAGAAAGAATTAATATAGTTAAAATGTCCATACTATCCAAAGCAATATATAGACTCAACATAATTCCTATTAAAATATCAAGGTCATTTTTCACAGAATTAGAACAAATAATACTAAAATTTGTATGGAACCATAAAATACCTCAAATAGTTACAGCAATCCTGAGAAAGAACAAAGCTGGAGGTATCACACTACCTGATATCAAATTATTCTACAAGACTATAGTAATCAAAACAGCATGGTATTGGCATAAAAACAGATACATCGATCAGTGGAACAGAATAGAGTCCAGAGATAAATCCATGCCTATGTGGTCATTTAATCTGTGACAAAGGAAGCAAGAATTTATATTGGTATATATACAGTCTATTCAATAAATAGTGCTGGGAAAACTGGACAGATATGCAAAAAAAAATGAAAGTGGACCATCTTCTTACATCATATAGAATAATAAATTCAAAATGGATTAAAGATTTAAATGTAAGACCCAAAACCATAAAACTCCTAGAAGAAAATATGGGAAATAAACTCTCGTACATTAACCTTAGTAATATTTTTACTGATATATCTCCTCAAGCAAGGGAAACAATCAAATAAACAAATGGGACTACATCAAACTAAAAAGCTTTTTCACAGCAAAGGAAACCATCAACAAAACAAAAAGACATCATACTGAATTGGAGAAAATATCTGCCAATGATAGATCTAATATGGGGTTAATATTTAATATTCAAACTTTACTAAAAAAACAAACTCATACAACCTCAACACTAAAAAACAAATGATGCAATTAAAAGATGGGCAGACGACCTGAATAGACATTTCTCCAAAGAGGACATACAGATGGCCAATAGACATATGAAAAGATGCTCAACATCACAAATCATCAGAGAAACGCAAAGAAAAACCTCAATGAGATACCACCTCACTTGTGTCAGAATGGCCATTGTCAATAAACCAACAAACAACAAGTGTTGGTGAAGATGTAAAGAAAAAGGAACACTTGTGCACTGTTTCCAGGATTGCAAATTGGTGCAGCCACTATGGAAAACAGTATGGAGGTTCCTCAAAAAATTAAAAATAGAACTACCTCATGACCTAGCAATTCTTCTTCTGGATATTTACCCAAAGAAATTTAAAACACTAATTCAAAAAATATATATGCACCTCTCTGTTTACTGCAGTGCTATTCACAATAGCTCAGATATGGAAACAACTGAAATGCCCATCAATAGACTATTGGATAAAGACACTGCGGTACATTTATACAATGGAGTATTACTCTGCCATAAAAAAGAATGAAATCTTACCATTTGCAACAACATGGATGTACCTAGAGGATATTATGCTAAGTGAAATAAGTCAGAATGAGAAAGACAAATACCATATGATTGCACTTATATGTGGAATCTAAAGAACCTAAAGAACAGGATAAATGAACAAACAAAACAGAAATAGACTCATAGATACAGAGAATAAACTGATGGTTGCTAGATTGGAGGGATCATTGGGGGATAGGTGAGAAAGGTGAAGGGATTAAGGTGTACAAATTGGTAGTCACAAAATAGTCACGGGCATGTGAAATACAGTAAGGAGAATATAGTCAATGTTGTAAAAACTATGTATGGTATCAGATGAGTACTAGATTTATCAGGGGTATCACTTTATAAATTATATAAATGTCTAACCACTACATTGTATACTTGAAACTAATATAAAATAACATTGAATGTCAACTGTAATTAAATATATATATATATATATATATATATATATATATATATATATGGTTACAGGATGTAAAACACAGCATATAGTGAATGGTATTGTAATAGCTATGTACGGTGTCAGATGGGTAGTAGGCTTGTTGGGGTTATCACTTTATAAGGGGTGTAAATGTCTAATTATGTTGCTTTGTACACCTGAAACTAATAATGATAAAAATAGTAATAATAATAGTAATAATAGACGTTGCATCTAACAAGTTAAAAAAACCGCTTCTGCAAAAAATATATATTAAACATGATTTCATAAGGTAAATAAAATAGTTAAATTACACATTACATAAAATTTACTTCACAATTTTTGGAATAAAAATTATTTTAATATTCTGTGCTTATTTCATGTTTGCATATGAAAAAAATTAAATAAATGCTTTGTGCTTTTATCCAATGTTGCTGTGAATTGGGTTCCCCAGGAAGCTGCCTTTGCGTGGGGATTTGCATGTGGCAGCTTCCTGGGGTTAACCCCTGGAAGGCTAAGTGAGCAGCTGGGACAAGAGGAGCTGCAGTGCAGTTGCAGCAGAAGCCTCAGAAGACCCTACAGGAGGGTCCGAATCAGGGCTGCCCTTCAGGGAAGTCCCAGCTCAGAACATGGGTATGGGCCACTGCATTGCATCACTTCATTGCATCCTGGACACTGGCTGTCCATGGGGAGGAGAGAGTCAGCTCCCTTCATCCAGGGCAGTACCTGAGGAAGGCCTCTGCTTCAGTCCTTAAAAAAAGGAGACGATATATGGAGACTTGGATCTAAATAAGTGTCCACTCTGTCCTGCAATCATTGCCTTTTTACAAAGCATTTCCAATGACTGCATCCTCTTTCCTTAACGTTCAGCTCTCCTTGTTTACATTGCTAATCTCGCAGAACTCAAATCTAAAGTGGTTCCTTTAGAGGGTAATTCTGGAGAGCACAGACGAGCACTCAAGACCCTGCTGACCCTGTACTTGAGAAGGAGGTGGCTCTGGACCTGCTCGTGCTTTGATTTTGATTTCAAAGCCATATCCTTGCTCATAATTGTCAGAAGAGCATTTTCTTCTTGGGAAGCCCAAGGGGAGAAAACAAAACCACTATATAGGAATTGTGTCTTGTAATTTACAGCAAACCAGTTAATGACTGCAGCAGAACTCATAAAATGTAACTCTTATTATTAAAAATAATCAGAGCCCATTCCTTTTTTAATGGAATGTTCTATAATGTTAATTTTTCTCCATTATTTGCAATGCCATCTCATCGTGAGATACTTGTTAATTTTTTTGTGTTAATATTGAAAGATATTTGAGTAAAGCGCCTAATTAAAAATATATTAGAAAAGTATTAATGGTTTTTAGATTTCTTAGACCAATTATTATGAAGTGGTTTTAAATATGCCCGTGCATGCACATGTGCACATGCTCACACATAAATATTTAACATATGTTTTAGATAAATGGACAGCATTGGGTCAATTTTTAATGAAAAAATTTTCAAACATTTTAAATATAGCAAGTCCTATTATGCTTGTAATTTTTTTCTGACTCTACTATTGGGTGCCTTTTAGTTCCTCTAGTTTAGCATCATGTTAAAAGGAGTAATTTCTTGGCCTTTTGAGCCTTGCTTCTGCTCGTGGCCAGCTCCAAAATCTTTGGAGTATACTTTTTCTCCTAATAATGACTCTCTGGCCCTTGCCCTGGGCCCCCTTGGGCCTTTTGAGCTTCCTTTGCTTGGCCCGCTCCAAACTCTTTGGAGTGTACTTTCTTTTCTAATAATGGCCCTTGAGCCATTCTCTACTGCTTGGGTCCACTTCTGCTTCTTTGAAATGTATTTTTACTTCTAATAAACTCCTTTTCTGTAACTTTAAAAAAAAAGGAGTAATTTCTTATATGTGCTTTCAAAAAAGAAATTAAGCTTTGCTTAAGTTAAATGTGCAATAACCCTATTAGGATTTTATTTTATTTTACATCTTACTGTTCCCTCATTTTTCCAGAATCCTGACTATAGTTGTTATTTTTACACTTTAGTAATACTAAAAACTTTTGTTCTTGTCAGCTCTCTGCCACCCCATCCATGAGTAATAGTGAATTTCCTGAAGGGTGTAGAAAGTTTCATTCTCAAGTGTTTGTAAACGAAGGGAGGCAGCCATCTTGCAGAAGCACTGTGCAAAATTTTGTCATAATTGTTGATTTTCTCCTGTATGTGTCTCCATGTTCTTTCAGGCTGTCCCAGCAACATCTCTAGCTCTGGATGTGGAAGTTCCCTGGGGGGATTTCAGGGCTGCCTGAGGCGCATCTCTATTGGCAACAAGGCAGTGGATCCTGTCTCAGTACAACAGGGGGCACTGGGAAGTTTTCGTGATCTCCTGATTGACTCCTGTGGCCTCACAGACAGGTAAGGTGATCCCATGTCATTTTAGCATTCCTGTTTTCAATTTTTTAATAGTAGAATAAAAACAAATGAAGAAAAGTGTACTTTCTTCTCGAAACTTCTCTGTTCCTGGTATCCATTTTATAGGGAAAAATTATGTTTACATTGAAAACTGAAAAACCAACATCTTTAATTTTAAACAATTGCTCCTTTCAAATGATATTCTCTTAGGAGACAAGTTCTTATAAGTATGATGCCAAGCTACTTAATTCTTACAGAATACTATTAATGCTGCCATCATTATTGGTGAGTGTAAAAACTGATGAGTATTTTAAAATTCTACCATTGCACAAAACAGATTTTCTAAAGGGATAATGGAACATTAAGGACCAATGAATCAAAATCATGTGTGGTCAGCTGGATTCACCCCACACTCTGTTTTCTACAGGGAAAATGAAAAGTAACTTTTCCTTTGAGGAGGGTTGAAGCCCTTCAGAGATTTTAGTGATGCTGTAAACACAAAGAGTGGAGCGCACCCAGTCCTACTCTAGTACTGTTCAATGAAGAAGATAAGAAAAGCAAAGCTTTAAAACAACAGCCTTTTCCATTGTGAAGCACTGCAACTTTTTTCAGGTTATCTTGTCATTCAAGCTGACTTTTAAGTTATTTTGGTTAAAAGCCATAGCTTAGCCGTAACACATTAGAATATTTTCTGTGGGTGGTATATCTGACTTCCCTCTAGTAGGAATGCATTACATTTATGTTGACTAAATGAACACACTTCAGACACCCTTACACATTCACCCAAAGTTCACACTCTGCAGAGTACTTTGTGGAGTAAAATCTATTCCAAATATAACACTAATTGGAATTCTGTTTCATGTCCAATAAATACAGGTTACAAATGCAGTGTACATTGTATTTAAAAACCATAAGTACTCAGTACATGAAATATGGACTCATAAAAAAGAACTTGATTTCTTTAGTCATGTGTTCATGTTCAGGCATTCACATTCTATTCATTTGTAGGGGCAAAAATGTTCAAAGAATTTAGATAAAAACTCTCAACCCTAATTTTCAGATTATGAACATTTAGTTTATGACATCATCTGTAAATTATAACTGCAGCCAGCTCTGGAATCCTGCATCTTTGTATCTGGAGAGGGTTTAGAGGTGTTAGCTTGGTAGTAGGGTACAGCCCCCCACCCATTGGAACGCCCTTCAGTGGGTGGGGAGGATTGGGGTGTCACAGCTCATTGGCAGTGGCTGGGTTGTCAGTTCAGTCAAGTGAAGCTCACAGAAAGTTATTGTAGTGCCCGGAGAATTCCCTCAACAGTATCTCTTACACAAGGAATCCCCTTTTGTGCATAAAGATTCTTAGCCCCCTGCCAAAAAAAAAAGAATGTATGTATGACCTATGTATATGTGTGCATATATATATCACCCAAACTGAAAGATTTTCCTTATGACATCTAAAAGGGACTTTCAGACATAAGTACCAATCTGTGGAGACATCTAGGATGTTAAGTTATCATCTTTAAAACTGAGGTTTCTGGCAACTCTGTAAGTGGGTATGAAAATATCAGCATTTTGAACAGCCTATATAGTCACTAGTTATAATTTTTTATGGTTTACCATCTAAAAACATGTCCTTAGTCTCCACTACTCTTAATACTAAAATTGTTCATTTTTCCTTAGCCCTTTCAACCACACTTACTAAACACATGTCCAGTGCACCATGACATAGACTCACTTAAAAAACTCGACAGGGCTGGCTGAGTGACTCAGTTGGTTAAGAGCTCACTCAAGAGTGCGAGCTCTGAGCAACAGTGGTTCGAGTCCCAGCCCAAGCTGAGCAGCTGCTGAGCTGCCAACAGGTGGCAGGATGGCTCAGCTAATAAAAAATTTTAAAAAAAATAACTCGACAAAGCCAACACCATGCCTGGGCTCTTTTCAGGCACGTTGCACTGTTCCCAACTGTCCACCAACCCTTCGCCCTGCCTGCCCAGAGCAAGTGCAAAGGTACTCAGGTGAAGCCAAGACTTATTATTAAAATGCAGGTAGTTTTATAACATCTATCATTCAGGCACAGGAATTAGTAACTGGTGATACACAGCAGCACTCCTAGCCCAAAGGATACTGTAGATTATGAAAAGATGTTTGAACTCCAGGAGGAGCAGAGGACGACTTCCTGAGTCACCCAAGGACTCATCCATGCAGTGCTGTCTTCCTGTGGCGCCTGATAACACTTCACAGGGAAGGCAGCCTGGTCCTTGGGACAAGGCTTTGGGGACAGGTCGTGACAAGAAGGGATCGTGTCTTACACCAATTGCATTTTGGACCTTAGGATCTTATGTCATATAACTCAGTTTACAGTGTCCTTCTCAGCTCCTGTGAATGCCTCCTGTGCACCCAAAGGCGTGGACTGTGCTGGTGGGGCCATTTTTCCCACTTCAGGGCATTTGGTCCAGCATTAATCTTCTAGATACTAAATGTAGCATTGCACACTGTACAATTGTGTTTTTTTGTAGAAAATAACATTAGAATAAAATTGATTATCACAAACATAAAGTTTTAGTGTATTTTTAAAAATCTTAATCCAAAATATTTTTAGGTAAGTGATGGTATTCTTTATTTTTATCATAGTCATGTCTAATCTACTAAAAAGTATGGAGTCTATTCAAGTGTGATTTTAGAGCATTCCAGTGAGTCAGAAAGAAGAACAGGAAGCTGATTTGTTCAAATACATGGTAAAACAATGAGCCTACCCAGCTCAAGCTGCCACTTCAGCTGCAGGGAGTTCTGCCAAACACAGTTTGAAATATCTCTGCTGCCAATACTCAGTGGCTTTGCTATAGACTAGGGATCTATAGCGTAAGGCCCACAGCCACTGCTGCTTTGGTAAATAACATTTGAGGAGGGCAGGGGGGACATGGCCAAGTCCTTCATTTGAGTAATGTCTGTGTGGAATAGTTGCAACAGAGACTATATGATCCTTGAGGCCTAAAATATTTTTTAGTTTGCCCTTTACAGAAAGAGTTTGTTGATTCCTGCTACAGACTAGTAAAAAAAACAAGGTGGAAGTTTTGGGGGGCTGTGGAACATGTGAGAGGGGTGCCTAATTTGTATTGGGACAAGGTGGGACTATCAGGCAGAAGAGATGCCTAAACTGGTGCAAAAGGTGTGTGCGTCAGTCAAGTGAGTCAGAGCTGGGATGGCCAGTGGAAGGAACAGCCTGGTACCCAAGCCTGAAGTGGAGCCCTGAATCTGACCCATTCAAGAATGGCTGGTGTTGACATTGTGAAACTGAGGCGAAGGAGCCAGGTGTGGCAAGAGATGGTGCTGCCTAGTTGGGCAGGGGCTACACTGTACAGGCCTTCTGGCCAACTAGAAATCTGGATGTTGATGTAAGTTCCCTGGGAGACCACTGAAGGGCTTAAAGCTAGGAAGCCACCTGTGTGTTTAATACGACTCTGACCACAAGTGGAAGGTGATTTCGATGTGGGATCAGAGGCCGGGGGACAGGTAAGAGGCATCTTGCTTATGGGAGAAGTGATGATGGCCTAAATGAGGTAATTGGAAAGTGAGGATGATTTATATTTGGTGAACAGAATCACAAGTTGATTTGCTGTTTGGCTGCAGGACGATGGAGAGGGAGGAGCCAGAAGAACCCTCAGGATGTAGTAGGGCAGCTGGATGAAGGCTGGTATCACTCTGTGGAATAGTGATGGAGGAGAAACACAAGCTTTGGAGGGACAGAGAGGCAAGAGGCTCAGTTACTAAATCCTAAGATATCTTGAGGATCATAGATGCAAAGAACGATAAAGATGGAAAGAAAGTTAGACGTGACTATGTTGCAGCTTCCATCTCAGAGCAGGGAACTCTCTTTTCCTTTATCATCAAGAAGGGGATCCTGCTTCTATTCAATCTTTTGAGAACAAGACACTTGTCCATTCACCAAATGGTCGGTTGATGTCATCTGTTGAAACCGGCTTTCCACCCATTAATCTGAGATTTTCCCTGTTGCTCTGAGCAAGTCTGCACACCTCTACCACCCACAGCCCTCAAGTACCTGGTGAATCACCTAAGGAGGCTCTCCCCCAGGTTCAAGCCCCTGTTCTCTTAGCAGTTTTTCAAAGGTCAGGGCCTTCAGCACCATCCCAGCCTTGATTGCCCTCCTCCACACCTGGTCACAATCTTCCCAAACTCCTAAAAGGACCTGGCCCATGAAGGGTGTGTGGGAGCCATAGTTGTCCTTTCCTTAGAAACACTCGCAGACTGAGCCTGCCCATCTGGGTGTAAGTGGAGACAGTGTGCTGGGTCCACAGCTCACCTTCAATCCCACGTCTCCAGCAGTGGAACTCTTCAAGTCAGGTGAGACATGCACAGGCGTGCATGCGCTCACTTGGGCGGGCACGCTGATGTTTTGGTGTTCTCACTACATCTACGGCCTCTGTCTGGTCCTCCCTGTGCATGCTTGGTCCCTCCAGGAAAGCAGGCGGCTCGGGGTACAAAAGCTCACCTCAGGCATGTAGAATTCAGGATGTGCAGCTACTGAAGAAAGAGTTGAAGGACCAAGGAAGTGGGACGGCAGTCTCTACGGAGGGTTTCAGGGGCATGGTTTGGCCTGTCCCCTAATTCCTGGGGGTACAGACAGCCTTCTGTTTCCACAAGAAGCCCACCTTCTCATTCTTGGTAAAGATCTGGCTTCTTCTACTCTAATGCTGTAAGGCCTAGCAGGAATGATGTGTGTCTTTTGAAAGAAATTGGATTTGTTGCCAGCACCTTTCTCCCAAATAGCAAGAATGGTTACTGCTATAGAATAGAAGCAACCCAGAGTTTCTCATTTCTTTGACTCCCTAAAAAGAAAGGGCACTTAGCTCAAGAGGTAACTAATAAGTTACATGGCTCCTGCAGTGAGGCTTTTGTGTGACAATATTAAGAGCTTCAACTGTCTGATGAGAGAGGCAGTGTGACCTTGACAGGACCCAGACACTCTAAGTTAATGTAGATCTTCTTTCCTATGTTATTGACGAAGCTGTGATGACTTCCCCAAACTTCCTCCTTAGTCTCCGTTTTCTGAATCCTGCTCAAGAGCCATGTCTGACCCAACCACAGAGGGTCAGGATGGTGAGTTTTGAGGCAGGCATGGTGCTCCTCCCTCAGCAGATCCTCAAGGGGGAGCCAGATGGACCAGACTCAGGGCCTGGGGCCTCCATCTTCCTGGCTCCCTAACTGGTTCTCTGCAGGGGATCTAACCCCCCCCAACCCTCGTCCCATGCCACCCCTACTAGGGCCACACCTCCCCTTTACAGCTCCTTTGCTCACTGGGCCCAAGGCCAGGGCCACAGGTGGGGAAGGGGCTCTTGTGCCAGGCCTCTGAGGGCCACCACCATTTCTTGCTTGTGACTCATGTGGACCATAGTCCTGGCTGGCACCACCTTGTTGGTTCTACAAATGGACCAACAGCCCCAGAGAGCTCATAGGTGCTTTTTGTCCCAGAGTGAGCTGAGGGCCACTTCTTGGGGGGAGGGAGGGAGAGAGGGAGGACTGCTGAGAGCAGAGCCCCTGCCCGAGATTTCGGTCTGCACTTAACTCCCTAATGCTGGCTTTCATGCAGCATTGTTAAAGGGCTCATGGACTAGACTTGGAAGGTTCAACATAACTTTCAGAACAACCAAAATAGAGTAGAACTAATTTAGGTTTTAAAATATTAATGGAGTCATTTTGGAACTAAATATAAGACTTTCCATTTATCTCTGTTACGTTTCATCCTGTTCATTTATTCAACTGATATTATAATTTGATGCAAGGACATGGAAACAGGCAGGGCCATTGCAAGCAGTTTATATCCCGGTCATGTATGAAATGAATCTTGCCTTTGAAAAAGCAAACATAGTTTCTGATATAATGTGTAGAAAATGTATCTGTCACAAACACATGACACTTAGTAGCATCTAATGGATTTCTTAGTCTATCGTTGGTATTACATTAGGACACCTTGATGACAGACCCAACAATTTTTATTCATGTTGAAAGTTTTCTGTTCAGGTAACTGTCATTATCCATCTTTCGCTGTAACAGGTTAGTGTTGAGATGCATATTTTATCATGGCCGAAGGTGGGAAACCGCAGCTGTGTCTGTCTTCCTTTAGGTGTCTGCCCAGCTTCTGTGAACACGAGGGTGAATGTTCCCAGTCCTGGGACTCCTTCTCCTGTAACTGCGCACACACTGGTTATGCGGGCGCAACCTGCCATTCCTGTAAGCTCACACCTCACTTGTTCTCCTTTCTGTTTTGATTTCCATGTAGCTCTATTTTCTTTTTCATTATTTTGTATATATATGTCTGTGTCTGTGCAACTGTGGGCTAGAAAGTGACAACAAAAAAGCCAATACGTATTTTAGAGACGAGTTTTTGTCTGGTTAATTTTTAATCGATTTTATTCCCTAACGATGTTAAAGCAGCTAAAAGAAATACCTATCAAATAAGACAGAAAAAAATACAAAAGAGTGGCCAAGGAAAATAAGTATAAGAAAATGAAATATAGTAAAACAAAATTCTGGAATGCATGGTATTATATCTTGCTCTGTTCCTTGAGTTGGACCCAATTTTAGTTCTCAAGTCTTGTCTGCCAAAGTAAAGAAAAGGATGAGTTTCTGATTCTCAACATTTATAAAATTAAATGAGGAGAAGAGTCTCAGTAGAAGTGCAGGATGGGAACTAGCATGGCAGGTGAGAAGCAGGGAAATGTTCGGGTACCATGCAATCTTGATGTTCTCTGACGATGATGGTAGTAGTGATGATGGCTGACATACTGGGAGTTTACCTTGTGCCTGCAGTGTTCTAGTTCTCCATATGTTTCAACTTCTGTAACCCTTGAAATAGCCCTTGAAGGTAAGTGCTGTTATTATATACATTTTACACTTGAGGAAAGAGAGAGGCTAAGTCATTTGCCCAAGGTCACACAGCTACCAGCCAGGGGCTCTTGACCACTTCTCAACTGCATCTCTTCTATCTTGAATACCAGTCTCTTTTCTGAAGTATTATTCTGTCAATTTTAAAGCTACAAAACTTTTCGACCACTAATTCATTAGCTACTAGAAGCTTATGACAGAGCCCTGAAATCCTCATGGCTTTCTAACGATTGGCTTTTGTTTAAGTTTTTTCCTATTTGTGTATTACTGTGACATTTCTGAATCCCTGCTATCATAGCCCCTCCTTTCCCTTTCAGTCTTTAGAGAAAAAGCATGGCATGAAGATTCACCGTTCACACCACATTCAGGCCCTCCCACTGGAGGAATACTTTGCACTCTTAAGAACTCTTCCCTGTGAATTATTTAATTGTTTCCACATCAAGTGTGGGAGAAAGGCAGAGCATGGACTATCATGTATTCCACCTTATGGGCCCCAGGCCCCAGGGCAGCAGTCAGTGGTGCTGGGATGAGAACCCTGGGTCCCAGCCCGGGAGTTCCACAGGGGAGCCAAAAGCCTCTTGGCAGATGTGGGAGGTGGCTCACTCCCCAACCCATAAGTTCAGCCAGAGTAATTCCACCTGCATCTCTATTACTATTGCAGTGCCAGGTAAGAATTTGCCAAGGCAAATCTTCATATGAAAGGAGCTGAACATCTGGGAAACCTGAGGCTAAGTGACTTGGCCAGAGTCCCAGTTAGGACTCAGGGCAGTCTCTTACAGCACCCCTCATCGCTCCTAGCAAGGTGTTATGCAAAGCAGAGACCTACTGAATATTAATGATTAAGGAATGCTTGCTAAGGTGTTAATCAGTAATATGATCTAAACATTGTTCCAAACACCTCTGATTTAAAATTAACAGGTATTATATAAAGATTTTTTTTCACTTGTGGCCCTAACAATTCGATTTGGGCTAATAATTGAATTCACTTTACTGTGATTCTCTAACTGGTATGCCAAATGAAGGTGAGATGTTGCCAAGTCAACAGTAAGTGACCAGCCATTATGTTTAGGCCTGAGTGTATTTTTGGGCTAAGTACACAATCGATGATGTGAACATTTGCATTTAGAGCAGGTTTCCTCCTAATTGTTCCTCCTCCACCTCATTCTCTGGGCAATCCCAGCCCCAACCCAAACATAAATCCTGTGATCAGTTTGTGTGTGTCCCTCTGGACACTGCTAAGCAGTTGTGAGCATGTTTATATATCTACGGAGGTGTAACTATGAGTGGCCAACATACAAGCATGGTGAGAAAGCAATGCCTGTGTGTCCATCGGGACAGATGGCAATAGCTATGCTATTGATTTGTGGCCATCTCACTCGACACATCTGACACTAGGCCATATTAAGAAATTAAAGAAAAGCATGCTTTATTTTGTAAACTCCCTGGACATACCAACATTCCTTTAATCTTATTTTGTGATGAGAGAAAAAAACTATACTTCTACTACTGCCCCCAGGTTTTTATTAACTATTTGAAATAATTAGGCAAAGTTTTAAAATGTAGATAATCTAATGAATGCAAAATGGCATCAACTCTCTTCCTCTGTGCCCATCTTGGATCGCTCTGCTTTGTGGGTCTTGCCTGACCACTTCCTGTTTTGAGAGCTGGCTTAAAGACCCACTCCAACACTGTGCAAGAATCAGTCCGCTCGCCTTCCCCAGAAGCTTCAGGGAGCTGCTTTTCAGGCTTGCAGAGGGTTTTCCCTGCTAAGGCAACAAATGACGCACACAAGAGATGTTACTTGGTTGGTTACTCACGTAAACTTATTCTAAATAGTAACTAAGTCCAACTCTGCAGATGTTAATCACTTGCTTGGTACATAGCAAAACATTTATTGTACATATAAAGAATTCAATTAAGAATCAACATAAATTGAAATTACAAAGAGACATTTCATGTATATATCTTCAAATTTTAATTTTCTTAATCATTTGCTTTCAGGAAAGTTTTTTAAAACAACCTTTAAAAATTGAATGAAGAATAGTTGTTGACTTGTAAAATTTATCTTGAAAAAAGTGCACTTTACGTGTAAATTGTTTTAAGTAAAAAAAGGGTAGAATTACCGAGTAATTTTGAAAAATTAACATGAGTATTAGATAACATATTTTTTAGGGGGTTAAGCCAGTGTACTTCAGATGCTCAGATATTGTTGGCAAAACTAGAGTTAGGTTGGAGTATGTCCAGTTATCACAGATTTGAAAAGAATCTTGTGTTTCTAGAGTATGCCTGATTCAGATCCACACATCCCCACAGTGAGACAACTTAAAATCTCTCACTCTGTGCTTCAGAACCTTTACGTTGCCTGATTGAAGTAGGGGGACAGTCCCCTGGAGAATATGTTCCTGAGAGCAATGCAGAATGAGTGTCACTGGGGAAATGAAAGTGCCACTTAATTGACAACATGGAGGGACCCATGCCATTGTATCCCCATCTGAGATCCTTGTCTTTTGCAGCTCTCTACAAGCAGTCATGTGAAGCCCACAAGTACAGAGGGGACTCTTCAGGGCTCTACTATATCGACTCAGATGGAAGTGGCCCTTTGGGACCAGCTCTTGTTTATTGCAACATGACAGGTATGCTAAGAAGCTTTATTATGAGAGTGAAACTCATGTAAATGCCTATTGTTTGCACAACCAAGGTGGGGAGTAGAATTTGCCTAGCAGCATCTTTATTGCATTATAATGTGATTGCTCAGAAGTATTACACATAATGTTTTAAATAGTTAAGAGATGGTAATTAAAAGTTATGTCATTATTTTCTGGAAATGTTCTTTTTGTGCAAAATTAACAATAAATCTTTGTTTATCAACCTAAAACAGAAAAGGATAAACTTTATATTTTAGTTCATGTGAATAAGTGCTAAAGACAGAAGAATATTCACTTTTTATCTAGGAGATAATAACTGTTTTTAAAGTGTGCACACTTCATGCAATAATATGACCATATGCAACTATGTGTAATATTTCATTTTCCCTAGAAATCCAATTATATGTGGTAGATAAATACATATATGTCATAAACAAGTCCTTTAGTTCTTTGACACTTTTAAATTTTACACCTGGACCTATGAGTGTAGGATTCCAAAAAGATCAAAACCTCCACTATAGTGAATGACAGCCGCCCTGATTGAATTGATACAAATTCTTGTGACTAGTGTGTGTGTGTGTGTGTGTGTGTGTGTGTGTGTGTGTCTCCCAAACCTCTCCATGCTCACAGGACATTTCATGAACAGAAGGTGGACAATTCTCCCTTGTGATACTTTCTGTGTTTGTCTAGAGGTCTGTCGACATAACAGGGACTTTAACAACCACATAGTTTCCAAATTCTGAGACAATATTCAGGAAAAAAAATCAACTGTAGGTGGTTCTAAAGTAACTATAACTTAGTTATAATATGATTTCTCTGTTATTATGGATACATGTCACCCTGTGAGGTTTGCAGTTTACACAAAGGGCATATTTGTGGGTAAATTTATGATGATGGTTTGTGAGTAGCTTAAAATCCTATTGCAGTTTTTATGCCTACTACCACTTCATACATAAAACAAAATCTGACCATTGTGGCAGTGGGTTTATAATTTGATCTGAATTGGGTCCAATATATTTTCCAGCTTGAATACGGCCCCCAAAGTTGGCACAGATAATGCGAGAGCCCTCAGAGCTTTTCAGTGGATGCGGTATGGTTGTTTGGGGCTTTTTGGCAAACTAGTTACTATAAATACTGAGCAAAATATTGCAGTGTGATGATAGCGAGCAATACATTGTCTTACCTCCTTTACTGAAAGATGTGTGATCAGTAAAATACGTGAGAAAACAGCCAAGGGACCTTCCCAGATTCTGGGCTCCAGTGGTTATAACTGGCCTTCAAGTTACTCAGTTTCTGCTTTGTTTTGCTTTCATTATCATGGTTCAAGTGCGTACCAAAAACATAGAAAGCTAAATAAAGATGCTGGCATCCCAATAATACCTTCCCTTTTATCAGACACATGCTTAATTAGCACAGAAGTCTAGGACGTATTGAAGATTTTCTTAATTTTGTCTTGGATTAATCCTATGAGCAGGGTTCCATATACATTGAAAAATTTCAAGATCTATAGAAAAGTGAAAGTGATCCCAACTGGCACTTTCCAGGATGAGTAAGGTTTCAGTGACTGAAGCCATTTTGTTGATAATTGATTGTTGGCAGGTGGGTAAGGCGGAGGTAAAGTTACATTTTCTGCCAAGAGGAGTAACTGTGAGCTGATTTCCTGATTGTCTGCAGTTTATGGTTGTAATAAAGGAAAACAATATTAATCATCACAGGTGAACATGTGATCTGGGCTCTGCCATGAGGCTTCAGTTGTGCATATTTATAAAGCCCCTTTGTAATGGAAAACTGGTTCAAAGGTAACTTGTTTTAATATGAATTTGATACAATAACTGATGTGTTTTCATTCCCTGTAATTGCTGTTGCCTTTTTAGAGTGAACCTTGGCCCCTGCTACCAGAGGGGAGACGAGTTGTTGTTTAAATGCAAAGAGAAAACACCAATGGACACTCAGCTTTTAATTTCAGTTAACTTAGGATAATACCTGATGATATATGGGGTCTCACAATTAAGTTCTCGAACTTGTGGCAACAACGTTGCTAGCTGTTTTTGATATCAGAGGGATTATTCATTGTGAATTTGTACCAACTGGACAAACAGTTAACCAAGTTCACTATTTGGAAGTGCTGAAAAGGCTGCATGAAAAAGTTAGATGGCCAGAACTTTTTGCCAATAATTCATGTCTCTTGCATCACAACAATGCACCAGCTCACAAGACACTGTTTGTGAGGGAATTTTTAGCCAGTAAACAAATAATTGTATTGGAACACCTCCCTACTCACCTGATCTGGCCCCCAATGAATTCTTTCTTTACCCAAAGATTAAGGAAATATTTCAAGGAAGACATTTTGATGACATTCAGGACATCAAGGGTGATACGATGACAGCTCTGATGGCCATTTCAGAGAAAGAGTTCCGAAATTTCTTCGAAGGGTGGACTAGGTGCTGGCATCAGTGCATAGCTTCCCAAGGGGCGTACTTCAAAGGTGACTGTAGTGATATTCAGCAATGAGCTATGTAGCACTTTTCCTAGGATGCATTCATGAACTTAATTATCTGACCTTATATAAGCAAGTTTATAATATATAAGCCTCTACCGTAGCTGTCAGATGAGCCTCTAAATATGGAGGGAAAAGGTGAAATCTACTGATGAATACCTGGTCAGTTTATAAACCTGGTGATGGTATTGAAATCTGTCTGCTGAGGAAGTGAATCGTTTCCTTCCCCAGGATGACCTGAATAAATGTCCAAGTAAAGGCAAAAAATGAAGAGATACAAAAAAGCTTCTTAACACCATTGAATGCATGTGCAGTCAGCACCCAGACAAAGCTGTAGGCACAGCGGCACAGACACAGGATATGTCCCTCCCCTGGTGGGGTGGAAACCAGAGACTTGACAGCAACTAATCAAATATGTAGCATGTTGGAAGGTAGTGGGTGCTGTGAAGCCAATAAAGCAGAGAATGGGGACACAGATTGTGGGAGGGTGGCTCCAGTTTCAAATAGAGGCATCAGGAAAGTTTGAAAGTTACATGTGAGTCAACCACATGACATATAATTCCTGAGAAAAGCTGAGGAAGAGTCTCCAGACAGAGGGAGGAAGCAAATGCAGGAGGCCTGTGGCCACAGTGAGCCTGGAGTGCTGGGCAGACCAGGCTGGAAAGATGGAAAGGTGGCTTCCCCAGCCATGGAGCTGGAAGGCGGCAGGTCCAGGACTCACCCCAGCAGTGCAGTTTGAGCTGGTAACCAATGTGCTGTGCCTAGAGGAAGCAAGGGGGCCTCTTAGGGGGCAGCTCCAGTAACTGAGCCCAGACGAGGTGAAGTGGAGCAGGGCGAAGTGAGCAGGGCGGGAACAGAGGAGGAGGAGAGGAAGGCTGGAGTGCGAGCCAGTGGATGGGATGTGGCTGGAGGGGAAGAGGTGTCCAGGTGGGTGGAGGTGTGGATATCTCAATGAGATGGAGAATTCTTGGGAAGGAGCATGTCTGAAAGGGAAGACCAGGATTCCAGCGGTGGACGTGTGAAGTTTGGGTTGCCTGTTATTGTCTAGTTAGTGACAGGGTGAGGACTGAATCCCAGTGGTTCTGCCGCTGAGAGAGAAAGCTGCTGCGCCTACCCTGAACACATCATACTTGTATTCTTTTTTCATAGTTGTGTGCTTGACTATAAAATCAAATGTAGCATGTCATCTTAAAGCCCATGGCCAGTAATAATATCCTTGGCATACAAACTTTTAAAAATATATTTGGAATGTGACTTTACAAATTAATTTAACCTGACCAGCAGGCTCCCATTTCCTTTACTGTCACTGTTGACACTGTCCATTATCCCAGCAGCACAGGGCACCTCCAGGTCCCCACAAGCGTGTCCTTGGAGGGGCAGCATCCCACAAAGGCTGTGTTTTTATTTAACTTCCCTAGAGCTTCTGATGTGCACCCAGGTTTAGAAATCGCTGTCATGGAGCCGAGGGGCTTTGGTCTTAGTGTGCACAGCCTGCTCTATCTGCACAAAAACTAAAATGGAAAGGGGGTGAAGGGCATCACGAGGTGGAGAAACAAAACCAGCACAGATGTGGAATTTTGCTGCCACCATTCATTTCACTGTCCAAGCAATAGTCCTCGTGTTCCCATATGTATGGGTTCTTTGGGTGAAATTTCATGACCCACCACGGAAACTCCACAGCCCTGATGTGTCCACAAATGCAACAAGATTTGTTCACATGTAATGAGGTAAAATACAAGACATTAAAACTGTAAATTAAGTATATTCTAGACTCTCTAATCTTGGAAAGTCTTAATAGCTTTAAGTGTGTGTGTGTGTGTGTGTGTGTGTGTGTGTGTGTGTTCAGAAAATTAGGGTAATAATTTACTGGTTGACATTGCTGTGTACATTTTTATTATCAAAGAAAACATTAACTATTTCTGTCTTCATATTACATTGCAAATGAACAAACATTAAGTACAGGTTATTGTATCACAGTGCCTTTTGGGTACTTAAGTTTCTTAGAATTTAGAGATGCCTTACTCTTATAAAAGAAAACTCCTGAAATTAGAATATTCTAGTCCATGTGACAAGATAAATATGCTAAGAGTCCATAAAGTAGAATCGAGATGGAACATCGAATGGATCATGGAACACACACACACATAAACACAGGATGGAGAACAGGAGTTAAAAATATTTCAGCAAAGATTTCCAAATAATATTAAATACCAAGGATTTCTATTAAACTCAAAGTCATAAGGAAAGCAAGATGCTGATGACAAAGAAGCACAGAGTCCTATCCAGAAACCCAACAAATATCTCTAGAAGCTATGCAATGAAGTATTGGATCAAAAGTTTAAAAAATCTGGATTGTTCCTAGGAAAAATGCAAGGAATGAACCAAAGTTACAGCTAAATGGTCCTGACTGATCTGGGTCACATGAGGTGTCTGTGACAAATCTACTTATCGATAAAGGAAGCACAAAGATCCTGGTACTCAATCTCCAGCC